GTCAGTGCGTGGAGTCCAGTCAGTCAGTCTCGCCTTGCACCTTCGCCTCGCAACAACAAACGTCTCGTGTCGCCCTCCGCCTTCCTCGTATCGTTCGTGTGTGTGTGTGTGTGTGTGTGTGTGTTGCGCCCTACGACTGCGGCGACGAGCCAGTAAACAAGTGACGCCGGCGAAGCAGGACCAGGATGCCGGTCGCCGACGAGTCCTTCTGTCACCGCAGGCACCAAAGCCTGAGCTGGGACTTGGAGCAGTGCGAAGTGCCGCTGCACTACGTCAAGCTGAGCATGCTTTGGGACGACAACGTGAGTACTGGGGATCCGTGTCGCGTCGCGTCGCGGGGGAAGGCGCTCCTCCGTCCTTCCGGCTTAGGTTAGGCCCTCGAGGCTCTGTCTCGGGCGGCCGCTCCAAGTTTGACGAGAGAGTACGCTCCAGTCTTGTTCGCGCGGGCCGGCGCAAGCCTTAACCTTAAAGTTGCACCAAAGCTGTAGCCGGGAACGATACGCCCGTTGGAACCGCGGCGGTGGCTTGGCTTTTCAAGGCCGTCGCCCTCTGTCCCTGTCACTCCAGTCGAAATGGTTTGCGTAACTTCTTATCGCTCCCAAACAAGTGCTTAAGCTCGAGTTGTCCTTACTATGGAGATGAACGCAAGTTTGCCCCGCAGTTTGGCGCAAACCTGCAGTACTACGCAGACAGGCTTTGTATAATCGTTCCGTTGTTGTGTTTACGAAGTCGTACCTAGTTTGTGTAACGCGCCGAGAACACTCCAGAGGTTATGTACTGGCTATCTTAACTTGACAGTTCGTGTGCGTTAAAAGTCGGGCCCGGTTTCACGCGTGAGGCGGTGGTTCGATCGTGGGCATCGTGCTGCAGGCTGGCTCAGAACACCGCTTTTGTCGCTCTGCCTCTCTGGCACTCATGGCGCGTGCCGTGTAGGTGCGAGAGAGACACGAAGCAGCATTCGGAATGGGCCGTCGCGATGTTGATGCCAGGGTTGATGGCTGCTTTTAGGACGCCGCCCCGCGGCTCCCGCGCCGCGTTCGTGTCGCTGGATGTCGTACATTGTTGCGGCGCCGCGTGGGGCGGGCTGGGCTGGGCTTTCCTGGCGGCTTTGGTGCGCCGCGCGGTGCGGAGCCAGGCGGAGCGATAAGCACTCCGGCCGCCCCCTTCCACCCCGTCTCCTGGTCCACGGTCCTCGCCCAGGACGCCGTTGTGCTTGGACTTGCTTTGCAGTGGGCCGTGTCCAGTGCGGTGCTTCGCCTCGCGGAGCTTCGCCAGCTTCGCGCACCGAGTCGTCAAGTCCCTCGCGCTGTTGGCCGATCCGGGTCAGGCTGGCCCGGCGGGGCGGCTCACGGCTCATCCCCGGGTCAGGTGGCCGACTGGCGGTCCCTCCGGAACCCGACTCCTCCGGACGTAATCCCCGGAGCGGTGACGCCACTGCGGTGCACTGCATGTAGGCAGCCAGGCAGCCGCGCTTGCACACGATTCGGAAACTTTTCTTCGCTCTGTCGCTGTCGCACTCGCGCGGCGTTACATGGCGGTGCGAGAGAGACGGCGGAATCGGTCTGCAGCGCGGAGTGGCGGAGTGAAAAGGAACGCCGGAATGCAATTAGTCGGAACGCGCGTTGCTGCGTTGCGTGCGCGTGGCGCGCATTGCTTGACGCCAAGGTGTCGGCACCCGGGTAGAGCAAAGAGTAACTTGAGTAACGGCCGGCGGGGACGCGAGCCGCGGACGCCGAGGCGAAGACGAAGGCGCGCGCCAAACGGCCGGAAAAAACGCGAAAGCAACTGCAAGGGAAAGTGTGGACATGTGTTCGGTGGCGGCTGGCGCCGCACGATGATCCTTTTCCCCGCCCTGCTCGCCGTGCTCGTTGCCGAATGCCGTCGATTTCGATCCCGGGGCCCGGGCACAGTTTAGCGGGGGGCGCTGCGACGGCCGGAAAGGGGGCTGGGCTGGCAGGGCTGCTAGCGGGTGGGAAAGAGAAAGCTAGCGTCCCTGACGCCGTCCGCCGCGCCCCGGCCCAGCTTCCGGCCTGGCGGCCTGGTGAGCCTGGCCTTCCCCGTCGTGGTGGCGCAGACCGTGCACGTGGTGGCTGGTCGGGGCTCGGTGCGCCCCGCCCGTCCACCCCCCCGCGACCGTGGCCCTGTACTCGGCATCGATCCGCCGGAGGGCCCCCGCGGGGTGGAGGGGCCCTGTGCCCCCGAAGGGCGGGGTGGGGCGGGGCGCACGCACAGCCTAGGCCGGCCTAGGCCCGCGGAAGGGCGGCAGGGTCTCCTTGGGGTAGGCAAGGGCCCGCCCGAGGCTCGGCGTGGCTCGGCCCGCGGGGTCGCGGTGACCTACTTGCCCGCGGAAGGGTCGCGCGAGGGCAGGGCAGGGCCTCCGCGTTGCGCCCTTCGCTTCGGTGGGCAGGGCGGTGCTCTCCTGGGATGCGGTGAGAGAGGGGTGTGATTCCTGCTGTGCTTCGCCCTCTCCTGCATGGCTAGCATGGAGCAGGTGCGAGGCGAGATACTGAACGCCAGGAGAGGCGAGGCCGCCTGCCCCTTGTCGCGTGTGTCGCGCCCTGCCGCGGCCCTGTGCACTGTAGGCACTGTACCGCGCCTTGGCGTGGAGTGGCGCGGCGGACGCAGGTGTCGGATGTGCTGCCTGCCTGGCGGGCGCTGGCGGCAAGGCGCGCGGCTGTGTGTGTGTGTGATGTTGGGGCGGGCTGCGCAGAGGTGCGAGGCCGAGGCTGTGCAGGCCCTTTCGCTTCACACCGAGGCGAGGCGGGGGTGAAGGGCGGCGGAGGCAGGGCGGCCGTCTTTCCCCGCCTGCCCCGCGGCGCAAGGTCGGTCCAAGGCCAGGGCGTCCAGGGAGTGCGCCAGAGCCAGGGCAAACCAGGGCCGGGAGGGTGGCTCCTCCCCGCCCCCGCGCTTGCTACTGTACTGGCTCTGTAACAGGTTAGACTTTCTGCTCCTCTACGAGTCTGCGACGCTGCCGCGCCGTGATGCCGTAATTGCGGGCGCCGTGCTGCCAGTCGCTCTGTCTCTATCGCACTCGTGGGGAGCTCCACTGCGGTGCGAGAGAGACGGCGACGAGACGAGACGACCCTTTCTTCCAGGTCGCTCGGCTGGAAGCGAAGGAGCGCCACATTTCCCGTGGGACGGACGCGGACGGCCTGCCGCGTTTTCCTGTTCGGCGTCGTCCGATTGATGAAGTTGTTTGGGGAGGGGGGGCTTTATTTGTGTTTTGCTCGGCGCGGCGTCGTTCTAAACGAGCGCTTCCGGTGCGGGAGTGGCGCGGCACTGCGGAACCGCGGCCAATGTCGATTAGCGGCCAGGCCGGGCCAGGCCAGTGGGGCGGGGCGGGCCGCGCAGCCGCAACCTCTGACTCTCGTTAGCGCACCGCTCCTCTCGGTTTTTGGTTTCGGCGTTTCTTCTCCCGACTCCGAACCTTCTCGTTGACAGCGGTGCGGGTGGCGAGGCGAACCGCGAGGGCTAGAGAGAGAATGCGCGAGGTAGCGGCGTTGCGGCAAGGCGGGGATTAGCAGACTGATTCCGAGAGTCGTCTTCGTCGCTCTGTCTCTCTCGCACTCATAAGGCGCCCCGTGCGGGTGCGAGAGAGACAGAGAGAGACCCTCGGAATCAGTCTGCAGCCGCGGCCCTTGATAGCTCGATAGCGCCACACGTGTCCGCAAGTGTCGCGGCCCGCGTCACATTTTGCGCGGCCTCCGTCGCGGGGGAGGGCGGCAGGGCTGCCAGACTGAGTCTGTCTCACTCCGCGTCTCCGTCGGGCTGATTGTGACTGGCCAGGGCAAGGCAGGGCATGACGCGGCGACGCGGCATGTCATGCGCGGCGGTACTTGGCGGCACCGAGTGACACCCCACCAAGGCGGGCCTCGCGACTCGCGCACGCCGTCGCGAACCGCCCGCCGGCGAGCCTCGCTGCGCTCGCTGCTCTGCTCAGTTTGGCGTCGCGGAGCGTCGTCGCCGTTGCCGCTTCTGCCCTGCGACCGTCGGGTCGCCTAGTGTCTTGTCGCGTCGCGCCGGCCCGGGCCGCCAAGGGACTTGCAGCGGTGACGTCGCCATGAGGACCGCGCGCGAGGCCAACTCGCTGCCCGCCGCCAGGAGCCGCTTCCTGGAGGCCTGGCTGGAGGAGGGCGACGCGGACGCCGGCTGCAAGGTGCACGTCGACCCCGTAGTGCGTGCCCCAAGGGTCGACCGAAGGGTGCACGTCGACCTCACGGACGACGCGCGCGAGGTCGGCGGCAGGGACGACCCTGTCGTGCGTGCCCCAAGGGTCGACCGAAGGGTGCGCGTCGACTTCACGGACGACGCGCGCGAGGTCGGCGGCAGGGACGACCCCGTAGTGCGTGCCCCAAGGGTCCCCCGAAGGGTGCGCGTCGACTGGAGGGACGATGCCGAGGCCGACCCGTGGGTCGACCGCAGGGTGCGGGTCGACTGCAGCGACGACGTGGAGGTCAGCTGCAGGGAGGACGCGGCGCTCAACGGCGGAGAGGTACAGACAATTAGCGGCCGATAGAGGTGTCGCGGCGCTAAGTCGCGTCCAAGGGCGCCATGCCGCCTACTGCTACCAACCGGAATGCAGTCTCAAATTTTAACTTTGATCAGTTGGGGTAGTTTTTTTTTTCGCGAGCGGCGTCGCCCCTTTTATCCGCGCTTTGCTGGCTTTGCGCACCGCGACTACCTGACTGCGGCGAAAGGCGCGAGGCGGCTGCCGCGCTGCCGGCGCATGCCGTCGTGTGTATCTTATCTGTTAGAGTAAAGAGAGCGCTTCAAAGGCGCACCGGCTGGGACTGTGTGTGTGTCTACTGTGTGCGCTCCCTTCACGAATTCAACTATCGTGTGCTTTTGCTGTCGTTTGAACTACTCCAAGGGTTCGACCTTGGCGCCGAAACAACCCCTCAAACTGCCACCGTCCTTCGGTGTGGTTGTGCGCGGAATTGAGGTTTACCCTTTCTCGATGTCTTTCAATTAAAATGCGTTTTCCCCTTCTCGTGTTGCAGCCTCCCGAAAACGCCCTGCAGGGCCTCCAGGGACGCGTGCTCTCGGAACACGAGCTGCGCGTGCAGCGCTCCCTGCAGCAGCTCAACGTGCCCGACTGGTACAAGAACAGCTCGCGGCCCGCCGAGGGCTTCCTCCTCAAGCGGGGCTCCGACGCCACCAGCGTCGCCGGCCGCCGCGGTGCTGGAGGCTGGCCGGGCCTGGGCGTCAAGACCACCTCCCTGTCGTCCCTGCGCAGCCCAACCACAGGTGAGAAAAAGGGGAGGGTGGGGCTCGAACCCGCGACCATCTCGCTGTCGGCGTGGGCCTCGGTCACGGCGGTCTAGGGAAGGACGGCTTGGTGGCGTTGTTCAGCAGGCAAGTGGTCTAATAACTGGGGCTGGGGCAGGTCCGCCAGTCGCCACGCCCCGCTGTCATCGCCTTGATCGCCGTGCCCGCGGCACGGTGGCGGAGGCGCCGAGCCTGTACGGCCGTCTGCTGTCCGCCCACACGGCGCGGCGGACCATGAGATCTGCGCCGCACAGTAGGACCGACCAGACGGAATCAAACGGAGGAAACTGATGAACTGCCTTTTGTTTCCAGCTGTGCGACTCGGGTCGTCCCCCAGCCCCCCGCCCGCGGCCTTCACGCGCTGGAGTTCGAGCCGCCTGCACTCGGCGGGCAGCGCGTCGGCCACCCCCAGCACCTCCCCCTGCGGCTCGGCGAGGTCGTCGTTCAACCACCGGCAGCCCTACCTGGGCTGGCGGTCGCAGGAGCGACTGTCGGGCACACCGCGGACGCCCGCGGAGCGCCTGGCGCAGGGCCTGCTTGAGCAGCGGGAGCACCAACGGCAACAGGAAAGGCTCAGGGGCTCCAGCCAGGTAACGCCTCAACGCCTTTGCCTTTGCAGATGTCTACCGCTTAGTCCCTGCTCTGGCTGGAACTCAGCAGCGTGGACGACTTCGCGGACCTGTCATAACATCGCTCTGCTTGCAGTTACAGTCCTCGTCGCCGAACCTGTCCGACGTGCGCTCCTCCATCAAGGAGGTGACGTCGGCCATCGTGCACTACGTGTCCGCCGCCAACGACCCCGGCTCCAACACCGACGTCCGGCTTGCCGGCCACTCCCCCGCCCCGAGCACCGCGACGAACACCTCCCGGGACCGCGAAGACCACCCCCGCAGCCACAGCGGCCACAGCAACCAACGAGTGTGCTGGATCGAGTCCTCCTTCGTGGGCTCGCGGCCCATCGAGCAGCCGCAGACGCCAGAGGAGGGCTCCGTGTCCACGTCGCCCCTGCCCGTGCACCACCAGGACCTCTACCTTGACCTGAAGCAGCGCAACTCGAGCTGCGCCACGGGGGCGTCGGGCACACTGCCGAGCAACGGCCCCGCCACGGTACCGGGACACGGCCACGGCGCGCACCAAAGCCACGGTGAGTTCCTCCGAGCGTGAGGGACCAAGCAAGGAGGGACCCAAACGGCACTGCAAACTGCAAAGTGCAAAGCCAACATGCAAACCCAGTAGCACGCCTGCCAGTGCCTGCCATAGCCCTGCCAGAGCCTGGCGTACGTAGCCCGGCGTAGCCCGGCGTAGCCTGCATGGCCGTCTCCTTATTTATTATTATTATTATTTCTTAGTGTCATTTGTGCCTTTCCTTTTTTTTGTCATTGTCGTCTCATCTTATCTAAGTGTCATGCTCTTATTCTTGTCTGTATCCCTCCTCCCACTCTCCGCAATCATCAGACCGCCATCATCATGGTCATCCATCTTCCTATCCGGTGTGCTAGAATCAAAGAAGTCGCTGTAAGTAATGTGGACTAGTGCACTAAATGTCAATGTCAGGCCGCTGTGTTCGTTCCAATTGGATAGCTTCCGTCTCCATCCAAATTGTGTTCTTTGGCTAACTCAAAATTCAATGTTTTGGTTGACTTTTTTCGGATTATGTAAAACCACATTTGCACCAACTAGTGTGTAGCTGGCTTGTAAAGAAACTGAAGGCACAAATACCCACTTCGTCTTTTAGAGCTTTATTCGGGACAGCAATTAGGATTTTAGGGACATTGTGATAGCATTCGGACGTTTTGCTTGTTGCCAGCTTCCCCTGACGAGATCGACATGCATCACGACAGCGACTCCAGCGAACATATTCTCAAGCGAACACCCAGCAAACGAGACACTGCCTTCATTCGGAAAAGAAACCGGAGAGCTCATAAAAAGAAAAAGGGATCTAAAACATGGAAAACAAAGTCAAAACTTAAAGTTGTTTCATTAGAGCTAATTTTTGGAATAGGAGTTTGTATGTTATAAATTAATCTAGAGGCAGTGTAATTTGTAAAGTAATCAAGAGGCACTTGATTCGCCTAGTCATATGCTTGCCTCTCACCCATATTTAAAAGATGAATTTGACTGTTAAAGTTATGCAAAACATTGACAAACTCCTCAACAACTTTTTTTCTTTAGTTCTCCTTTTGCATACCTATATAAACTGTGATTTTTTTAGTTCCCTCATTATCCTGACAGAAAGAATATGATTGGCCTTTTAGACTGATAATCATCCAATCACATTTTGTTGTCCATTTTGTCCCTATCCTCAAAGAACCCTTTGATTTAACTTAAAATGGGAGTTGAAAGTGATTAGGTTTATGTTCTGTTGTTAGTGGTGCTCCCTATCATGGGTCCAGATGTATAGTGTACAGAGAAAGTTTATTTTTGTGTTGATTTTTGTATAACCTCAGAAATTCCTACCAGAAAATCAAAATATCTTTAATATATTATTTATTTTAGGGCAGCTAATGTCTCATTGTTGGTAGGGATTTCTGAGGCTGTATATAAGATAAAAGTAAGATATTTTCCTCCTGTTAATAATTTCTCTAGAGGCAGGACAATACTCAGCTGAAGTCGCCAAAAAATTACTATTACATAGTAAATATAAATTATATTGAATGAGTGAACTAGCATCTCTTGTCTGAATCCCAGGAACTTAAAGTCAAGGTAGTGGTGCATTTTCACTCCTGGTTGGTGACAGATGGGGCCAGAGAAGTGGCTCTTAGCTCCATTGAGTAACAGACTAAATATGGGACTACAAAATTGATAACAGCCTTGCATCCCATTTGTCTTGTTACATCACCCCATCTTTCACCCGCCCCATATCACTATTTAGTGAGGAAACTGAATTTGCCAAACATTGCCTGACATTATCAACAGATAAAAGAATATTGTTGATATTTCAATGTTCAAGGAATAGAGTTTAGAGTTGGAGCTGTGGAAGCAAGCGCACTTAAGTGACAGATCTAATTTGCGGTTTTAAATTTATGCTCCTTCTGATACTTTTGTATGAGTGATGGAGCAGAAAATGAACTTGGGAGGGAAAATCATTTTTAGACCAAATTTCCACATCCCCCTATTTTTGGACAAAGGTCATTTTAATCACAACTTTCATGAACTAATTATCATCAATTCCGTGCTCATTGAACAGAGCACACATTCATCATTCATTTTTATGCTTCATTTGTGTTTAGTTTGCACAGAATAAATGTGAGAAATGTATCTAGTACATATCTGCTATGTTCCTTTTCTCTATCTTTTGGCTTTTTTCATCAAAATCATTTTAGCAAGTTAGTCATCTGCTTAGAGTTTTGTTTTGTCCCCATTTTATAGTATGCTCTGATTTGTGGATGCCAAATATGCATGTCTTGTTATGACTTGGACCATTATGCAATTAGTTGTTGTAAACCTGCCTCTTTTAGTTTGTCTTATTGTTGATTGATAGCTCTGAATCTGTCATGAATAAGATTAATTTTTTTTATGTGGCATCATTTTAAGTGTGGAAAAACGCTCCATTGTAAGTTATGATGTATGTAACTTATAGCTAAGGTTGTTTTATCAATTCCATTTCTCAATGCCCATTACAGTTTTATTGACTACAAGGACATCCTGTCTTTATTTTCCTTTTTCATTCTATCTTTATATAGGCCATCTGAATTAGCTTGTTGCAATTTTATTTGTTGACGTCATTGTAGAACATTTTGTTTACATACAATGCTGAGTGTCCTCACGTAAGTGTGGTTTTGTAAATAAATATTTGACTTTTCATATTTGTCATTTTTTATTTTCCTTTTTTATAAATGTTTTCGTTTTGCTTTGCGATGTTGATGCATGCCCTTAGCTAGACATGAAACTTTCTTTTTCTTTTTTTTTTTCACTCACATACATATGCCTTCTCTGTTTTACACTTTTCAATATTCTAGTTCTGTACGTATGTGTATTTGTTCATGTTCATATGGTAGCTTTAGCCATTACCAAAAACCTTCTTTATGGTAGAAGCTAGAAAAGCTGAAACTGCTTGCCGAAGTGCACAATGGGGAATCATATTTAATCAATTTTAGCATCGTGTCGGCACAATGTTCCTATGGAGCTTGCAAAAAGAATGTGGTACTGAGATTGGCTGTACAGTTAAATTGGAAAGAGGGTGAGAAACTGATTTGCTTTTTGGACTTCCCTGTGTGTCTTTGTAAACAATTATTTAGCCAGGTGGGAGACACGACTGTAATTCAACTACTACACATTTCTCACTAAGATTTCTGTGGTGTAGTCACCCTTTGCTAGTTGAAGTTGTTGTCTTTAATATTTGCGTGTCAGAGTACTATCAACAGGTGGTAACATTAACTCTCACTAAGGTAGTATCCGCACCCACCAAATCCCATTGTTTTAGAAGCCCTCTACTCCCTCGCACTGTACTGTACAGCGGTCACTTAATACGCAGTCCGCGCCCCGTCGCGGAGGGGGCGGGCCCAAGCGGGGCGCACCATGTAGCCCAACAGTAGGGTTGTGGCGTTGTCGACTCCTTTACAAGTCCTCTGCATGGTCATGTTGGGCATCCTGCACGCAGGGGTAGCTGCAGCTGCAGCCGGAACCGCAGCCGAGGTCGAGTCACCGGCGTCCCCCGTGGCGGCGGCTGCGTCCGGCCCGTGCGGCCCGTGCGGCCTGAATGCCGTGGTGAGCCGGCCCAGCCCGTCGTCCACCACCATGGAGGACGTGCTGGACTCGCTGCTAGGACTGCCGCCGCCGAGCAGGTCGCCGAGTCCGGGGCCGAACACGAACACGGCGAGCAACGCCAGCAACGGGAGCAGCAGCAGCCAGCAGGTGTCGTGCACTGCAGCCACTGCGGTGACGCAGGTCCAGGTGCAGTCGGCCCAGCACCAAGGGCACCAAGGGCACCAAGCGTCGCTGCGCACCTGTGCAGACATTAGGCCCGATCCCGCAGGTAGGAGAACCGTGTAAGTTGAACACCACGCTCCGTGAGATCATCGTCCGCTTGAGGGCTCTTCTTCGGCCTGAGCGAGGCCGCCGTCGTCGCGGTGCTGTTGTTCCCATGTTTATACCCACCAGACCACACAGTCCATTCCGCTTTGTTGTTAATATTCTGTCAATCAAGTCGGCAGCAGTGTGTTTTTGAGAGGCTCCACGAGGCGAGGGCCAGGCTTTTCACTCTCCTTACCTGAATAGTGCACTCTTGCGAAGGATGCGTGATCGAACCGGCGACCGCCTCGCGACCGCGCGGCTGTCGCGGGTTCGAATCCCCTCGGAAGCGAGGTGTTTTTGGATGTCTTAGCTGCTGTGCTTTTGGATAGCTAGCACCGGCCCTACTGGCCACGTAGATGCCGCATAGAGTTCCAAGTTAAATTGTTGATTTTATGGACACACAAATGTGGAGCACCGCATGCGCTATCCTTAACAGTGATGACGCGGGTTACAGTCGTCTTGCGCTTGTACAGCTTGTAGAGGGGCAGCACGGGGCTGGGGTACTGAATGTACTGTACTTTCATTAACGTAAGGGTTCCAGTGCTCGAGACGGGGATTAGCGGTGTAGGGGTAGGGGAGAGCACGCCGACTTGTTGGCGAGACGAAGCGCGTCCTCGCCTAGAACAACCGACGAAGCCATGTCGCCGTGTCGTAGACGCGCGCGCGAGGGAAGTCCCCGGGCGTCCGTGTTAAGGCTCCGCTTGGGGCTGGTGCTTTGTGTGCAGGGTCAGCTAGCGCCGGCGAGGGCGGCGAGGGCCTCGAGCATCCGGCCCATCCGGCCCATCCAGCAGCACGCTGGAGGGGCGTCGACGGCCACCCGGAGGAGGAGGAGGAGGCCGATGACGGCCCGGAGCCCGCGGGCTGGGAGGCAGCCGACCTCGCCGGGGTGGAGCCTGCGGCGGGGGCGTCGTCTAGGGCGTCCAAGGTGGCCGAAGATCTGCCCGGCTGGGACAGCGCACCGCCCTGCGAGGCGCGCGAAGACTTCGAGGACTGCGAGGCGCCCCCGGGGTGGCAGGGCAAGGCCGTCGTCGGGGTGGTGGCGGAGGAGGGCAGCGACAGTGACGACGCGCGCGAGGAAGCCGAGTTTGGCGCGGCGCTGCTCAGCCTGCCGCTGGACGCGCCCAACACCCGTTCGACTTCCACGCCACGACGGCGTCGCAGCGAGAGCAGCGCCCTGGAGCACGCCGACCGCGGCGAGGGCAGAAGACACAGCCTGGGCCCCGCCAAGGCGAGCCCGGCGAGCAGGGCCAAGGCGCCCCGCAAGCCCCCGCGGCGCGTGTCGTTCGACCTGACGGCCACGGGGGCCGGCGCGGGCGGCGCGCTGGACGGCGAGGCGGTGGCGTGCCGGCGGTACGGCTGCGGCCGCGTCGCTCCCGAGGCCTCGGCGCGGCTGCGCTTCAAGACGTGCCACAACTGCTCGCACACGTACTGCAGCCGCGAGTGCAGGCGCGAGCACTGGGACAGCCACAAGCGTGCGTGCGCCGTGCAGCGCGTCGGCGGGCTGCTGCGCCGCGTGGTGGCCCGCGTCCGCGGCGACACGGCCGCGCTGTCCACGGCGGCTCGGCGCGGCTACAAGGCCCACGGCCGCGGCGTGGTGCGGCTGCTGTTCCACAGCACGGACGCGGCCGAGGCGTACTGCGCCGGGGAGGCGGCCGTCGGCACCGGCCCGGGCCAGGAGCTGGTGTTCGTGCGCTGGGCGGACCTGCCGGCCGGGGAGCTCGGCGGCTCGCTGCATGAGGACCTGACGCGCCTCTGCAACACTTACAACCCCCGGACGCGCGCCGTCACGCTGGTCGTGCTAGAGGTGCTGAGCGAGGCGCCCTCGGACGACGGCGTGGTCATGTGGGAGCGCCAGCTCGTGTCCAGGGTGTTCAAGGTGCACCTGTTCCGGGAGGACGAGCTGGACAGCACGCTGGTCTTGGTGGGCGCGCTGGCCGCGCACATGGGGGCGCGCTCCGCCGTGCTCAGGAACATCATTAGGGCGGTGGGGCAGCGCGGCCTGGACCTGCGCGACGAGGAGCACGCCGACGCCTTCCTCTGCGTCAAGGAGTTCGTCGACGGGCGCGGCCTGGTGCCCATCACGGTGGACCTGGAGCTGCAGGGCGGCGGCCGCCTCCTGGTCGTGCTCGTCCCCAACGTGCCGCCAGACATCGGCACCAGCATCGCGGGGGACAACGCGGACACCGTCGACGTGAGCGGCCACGCCTCGGACACGGAGGACTAGGCATGGCGCGACCAGGACCAGGATGACGTCAAGAAGCTGATTGAATCAGCATTCGGCATTGCGATGTGTCGTGCGTTTTGCCCACGCGTGAAGCGGTAGGGGTTCGAAGACGAATTTCCATGACGACCATTCCGACGTCTGGGCACACAATTAACCTGCCCGTTGTGAGGGTGCTTCGACCCTTCCCCCCACGCACCCTTCCGGGGTGACAGTCTTACGATGAAGGGCAAATGGAAATATTGAGGCCCAGGACCCTCAGGATACCCGCACATATGCTGGGATCACGATAAGCAGACAACATGTCACGTCTGGAGGTATTACCAATTTTGTCACAGTTAACAATCATTGAAGAAAATTGAGGGCATTAAAAAAAAGGTGGAGTAGCTACAGTATTTCAAAATTTTACACATCTCATTTTACAGAAACATATCAGGTATCAACTTCATTTACCACTGAAACAAAAGCCAATTACTAAATCAGTATTTTAAAACCCTTCAACCCAGATTGAAAGGAAACCACACTGGTTTGAACATTAACGAAAATGTCAGAAGATGTGCCAAAATTAAAGAGTTTGATGAAAGAGACAAGGCTCAAGAACAAACTTTAATGATGAACTGGACCCGTCACATTTGCATTGAATGTTCTTCAATGAAATGAACTGTGATGCTAAGTCAAATTTTCTCATCACTTGAGAAAAAGAATCTCTCTTCCCAAAAAATTCACTAATTAAAAATGCAATGAATTATTATATGATAGCAACTTTTGTAGGTGGCTTGTAATTCTAATTCTCATGGTCTCTGGCTACCGGCTTGTCAAGTCCTTCTTGTGAGGGTATTTGAGATGTCTTTTTTTATGTTGTTAATTGGTATCTGTGTTCTGTACATTTCTGTATGTATTTTTAACCTGTTACTATGTATTGTAAGACATTTTTGCTGTGATGAATCATTCATTGTAAATATTTATAAATTTTATGAGCTATGCGCTTTTAAACCAACAGATAGTTTTGGGTTACATACCATGCGAATATTGACTGGTAGTTTCTATCTCTTAAGTGACTAGTTTTGATAGTTCTAAAGTTCTTTTCGCACAGACTCAACTGAAGAGGTTGGTCAACCAGACGCAACACTGTTTTTGCTATAAGGGGCTTGAGTAATATATATAGGCTTCCCATGTGATTCCTGTGCTATCTACACCATATCAAAAGCTAGCTTGCTGAAGATTTACTCCTAGTAATTCAAGGACCTAACACATGATGTGGATCAAGAAAAATGTCACAAAGTTACTTTGGATTTGTCAACATCTACTTACGAGACTGTTCTTTATAATCTCAGTTCAAGGCTTCTTTGTGCCAAAGTGCATAGGGAGGGGGAAGCAGTCAGAGGAAATAAATCAATAAATTTACAACCAACACCAAAATTTAATTCTGTGTGAACTGAGTGGGCAAGTTGAAATGCTGAACATAAGTATTTTCAGTTGAAATCTTTGAGGTCTAATCTAAGAGTCCTATGACTCTAAGCTAAGTAACCCTCATCAAGGCTTGACAGTAAAACTATGATATAGAAATCAAAATTAATGCCTAAGAAACAGAAATAAACTTTATTTTCTTTATGAAGCTGAGAGAAGTTGATTGATCAGGGTATCAAATGGTTACATTAATGTCACTACTTTCATTCTACTGCAGTAAGAAATGTGAACTATTTTCTTGTTGACTTAGCATGAAGTAGTGACTCCTGTAGTGAGAAGTATATGTTTTAGACAGACACACCAAAACCAATTATATGTTGCAAAAGAATGGACAGACAAACAAATCTCTCATGTTGTTATACTTGACCTTTCTAGAGACAAAATATTGCTGTTTTAAATATTACTATATAGTTGTTTTTACTGTTCTGTTTCTTCTTAGATTTTATAAAATACTGTAATTATTGCATATGCGATATGTTTATAGCTTGTGTATTTTCAGGAAAACAGACTGTTGTCTAAATTTTACTGTAAAATTGAAATGCTGAGCGTTCTATAAAATTTCCAAAGGCTTGTTTCAACACTTAAACAATAACATCAACAAAAAGCGAGTATAAAACAAAACATGCCTTTTGAAATGATCTATGTTGGAATTTGGAAACATGCTATTTAATAAATCCATGCCTATATATTTGTTGAAAACAGTAAGTCAATTTCTTTTTAAATCCAACCCTCTGTCCTGAAACTTCAGTTTGAATAATAAAAGTAAAAGGAGACAAACCTCTAAGCACAGTAACAGTTTCATCATTTTAATATGGCACCACAAAGAATTTCATTATGTTAAAAATTGCTTTCTTAATATAAAAATATTTAAGATTCAACAGAATATAATATCTGAATGATTAAAAAACAAGCTAGCTTAAGATTGCAGTCTCCAACAAATACTAAAATATAAATGCCTTAAAGTCATGTTAATACTTTTCACAGCCGCTGAATCTGCCACAACACTTAATGTAGAAGATGAATGACAAATATGCAAATGGGGAATGACAGTCACTCTCGCACTGGCAATATTTTTCTATGTCAGCGTGAGAATGGTGGTTTATTGTGAGCTTTGTTCTACTTCCCCCTTACTCTTCATACAAATTATTACACCACACCCCAATAAAGATGATAAATGAGCCCAATGAACAGACTCAATTTCTAAAGAACCCAACCAAAATATTTTTAAGAGGGAGGCATTTTAGTCCATGAAGAGAGAGACTGGAAAATTCCAATTCCAGCTGAAACCATTCCTAAAGCACCAACTTGCCAAGTTTTTAGTTTCGTAGACCAGAGGAATCCTTCAGGCAAGTAATGAACAGCATACACCAAATCGCAAGATGTGCGAACAGCAAGCAGAAGCAAGCCTCTTTGTTGAACAAGTAGTCTTTGAAGGGAAACTCTGAAAATAGAATGTAATAAATAAAACCTTTTTACCAATCAAAGAAAAAGGAAAATAACTATGTTCTGTTCTCATACCCGACATCAGCATCAGTCGTTTTTAAACACTTTTTATGTTGTTCAAGAAGCGACAGACTCCTCAATGCTCTAGAAAAACAAAAGCAAAGGCAAAATATATTGGTAAAGTGTTGACTGGCAAATAGATCCAAGTTCTGATAAATATACCTACTTCATCAAGCCAAGGTATAAAGATAGAACCCAACATACAGTACTTGCGTCAGACCAAGGATCTGGATTCACTTTAATAATCTTTCTCTCTGCAAACCATGCAACTTGCTCCAACGGATAAAATATAACGTCAAGAATGCAGCTTGCTCTTCCTATCATCTTTAGATACTTGTCTTTCTCCTGAAATGTTTTAGAAGATTTCTTGTAAACCAACGTCAACTTTTAATAAGTACACATGAAGATGAGTTGAGCAGAATACCCACATTTTTACCAAATTTATAGGAAAGAACATACTTTGCAACTGACACATAATCAAGAAATCTGAGAATGGTTCGACAGTTACTTATCTCAGAACTGACAAGCTTCAAATCGCGAAGACTCTTCTCAGAGTCAGTAAAACCTGTCGCAAACTTTAATGAGTAACACAGAGCTTTAAGAAATTTATCTCGCCCACTGTAAGTGTCGAGATACTCGTCTAAGCGATCTAACAATATGGTCTTTGAGGTACTCATTTTAAGAAATAAATAGAGTAAATAAAAATGTCAGCACATATCACGAGCGCGAACTTCTGTGGTTGACGGTAGGTGTGAGATTTTGAAGACTGACAAGGCGAATTTCCCTTGAAATCCCTAGTGTCAAAGTCCACGAGGGTTAGCCCAATGTTTTTTAACACCTCCACGTAACCTGGCGACCTGCTCCTGCTCCTGCTCCTGTAAATAATATTGTCTGCTCTGTAAATAAGATAAGAAAAGAAACTTGAACTAAGTAAAATCGCAGCTATTCTCGTTCAATTCACCATCAATTACTTCTTCAACGCATCCATCGTGAGAGATAAACATTATTAGGACAGTAGTTTATCCCAAATGTAGAACTACGTCGAAAAGGACCATCATTTAGGTCTTCAATCTGTCAGTTTGTAATGTTGGCAACATTGTGTAAACATCGTCTGCTTTCTGGGTCGAGGAAGAAGGAGAAGAAGAAGAAGCCAGCGACAAAACACAAACACTAAACATGGCTCCTAGTTTACTTGAAGTTCTTTCCATTTCATTAGTTTTAGCTTTACCGTTTCTTTATGAAACGAGCAGAGCATTTCGTTATTGTTTTAAGTTTTTCGTGTACTACGCGCTAGTAATGATAGTTGCCGTTTTTGTTATACCAATCATGGCGTTTCGCGCGGGGGATGTCACCAACCTTCTGTGAGTACTTTGATTTTGTTTCTTGTCATCTTATTTCGAGCAATTTCAGCACCTTTCTTTGAGTTTTTTTGCTAATTGGACGGTGTCATCTTTCTCCTGAAAAGTTCGTCAGTAAATTCTCATTCTTTGTTGTGACACTTTATTTCTTATAACCTCAACGTCACCGGTGCTCCCCCGTGTATCGTTTTCTATCTACTTGAATCCAAATTTCCTCTCATTGCGGAATACTTTGTCAGAGATCGAGTGAACATGTTTCTAATGATGGGCCCGTAGAATGTCATTTTATACTGAGGCTCGTTCAGTTTGCATTGCAAGTTTTTCTTTATTCACTTTCTTATTGTGTGCAAAAGGGTTTTAGCTTTCTACTTTTTCTGCTTGTGTCTCTTCTGAAGTTTTCAATTCGTGAGAAACTTGGCACTTATCTCTGTCAAGCTCACTAGGCAATGTAAATCTGATTTATTTTTTACATGAAGGAAAATCAAACGCATGTGTGTAGTGAAATATCTAGGTCTTATTATGTAGTCAAATTTGAAATTGAAGTATTTGTTTTCACATTGAGTATTTCTTTGATCATTAGACAGTATGCCTCATGCAGTGACTCAATAATCACTGTTTGAAGCTCGATGCATCGCAGTAGCATGCTTAGACTTTTGTTTGGCATCTGCTTTCCCCAGGGGGCACTCTCATTTCAGGTACAAGTTACGGGATTACGATTTTACAGGATTCGCGTGAAATTTTCAAAATTGGTTCGAAAACGTTGAAATAGCTCGAAAACGTGGAATGACTCAAAACGTGAAAATGACAGAATTTGTCAAACGTGATCGCCATGATTCCAGAGATTCCAGCAAACTTGTACCAATAGGGGTGGTGGCCCCTCTTCGGGCACTGTAGTTGATCAGGAAAGTTCATTTCCCATTTTAATTTGTGAGGTCAAAATTTTGTCACTTCTACTTACTGAACTTGAATGTGAGAATGGGGGGGTTTCAAACCTGCATCTCTGCGTGATTTCAGAAAGCAGTGCAGCCTCAACGAGTTCCAAAGGCTGTTCGTGTTTCAGCCAAATGTAAGATCAATGGACAACTAACTAACAACTTATCTTTCAGTGCCGTAAATAATAACTCTGATGAATTTTATAAAAACTAAAATGGTGGATGGTAATGTCCATTTCCTGCACGCCTAAGGAATGAGCAGCTTTGGTTGAATTTTTGTCTCAGATTGGTGGTGGTGGCAGTGGTGGTAACTTTTGTGGCCTTCCACTTTTTTTTTGGAATGGTTTGAGCACTGCTTTGCTTGGCTTGCTTGATGCAAATGTACTGGTGAACGCGTCTGTTTCTGGCCTCCTCAAGAAGCTATCCAGGTTTGTTTGGTAGGCCTGCGGGCGACGGAGCTGTAGCGCTGTAGCGCCTGCGAGATAGGCCACCGATCCATCTAGCAACATTCCGGTGTGGAGACGGTGATCTTCCTCGCCCGTGTGAAGACGACTAGAGCCCTACATTACTTATCGGATTGAGGGGCTCTAAAGACGACCGGGGCATACGTACGATCATGTGTGTCTAGCCTCTAATGGTAATGGTAATGGGGCAGTGTAGGCCACCGTCTCCACACACGTGTGTTTCGGGACGGATCCGTGGCCTACCTCGCAGGCGCTACAGTCCTCCAACGCGATGGGTACGCTAGCCACTAATGCCGCTCGTGGCTGTGCTCGCTGTGTCTCTCGCGCTCAAGAGCCGCCCCGTATACGTGCGGAAAAGACAGCAGCGCTGCGCAGACTGCTGTCCGCCGCGGCCCGGGAGAATTAAAGACTACCGCGCGACGCAGCGCGACGCGCCTAACGCCTAACCAAACAATGTATCACGTTAGTTACCTCTCGCATTGTTCGCGCATTCGGCCGTTTTTCCGAATCGTTGTTAATTCAATGAGACACGACTTCCTCGACAGGACCATGTGGAGACACGAGACAGATGGTGTTTGGTCGTATATATTTTTTCCCACCGTGTAATCACCATATAAAGCACGTTTGGCTTTGCGCGCCGTGCCTGCCGCCGGGCCCGCCGGGCCGCGGGGGGAAGGCTCGTGGCTCATGTGGGCTGGTTGGCTGCTCGGCTCGAGGCTCGGCTGCTTTGGGGACGTTCGTACTACAGCGGTGTCCGTGCTTATCGCGAAGCAGCGAAGCGTCAGCGGCACGGCATGGCCATGGCCGTCGTCGTGTGTGACTCCCGCCTCGCTCTTCGACGGCACGGGTAGGTGGGTGCCGTGGGTGCCGTGCACTGCGCGCCACTCTCATCGCACGCCCATCTCAATCTGATTGCGACAGCTTCCTGTGCCGTGCCGTGCCTTCCGCGTCCCCGTGGAATGACGAATGGCCAATGGCCTGCTCGCTCAGCCGAATGCTCTTGACAGAATTAAACGGAGAAATTTCGTAACCTGCGGGCTGATTCCGGGAGTCGCTACTCGTCGCTCTGTCTCTGTCGCACCTGCACGTGCACGGGACGCTCCATCGGTGCGAGAGGGACGGAACGGAAGCAACCCTCGGAATCAGTCTGGGAGTGTTGACCGGGGCGTCGCCGGGCCGACTGGTCGCCCGCCATTGCCTTGAAATAGCTCGCGAGGACCCTGGAAAATTGAGGACCGCTTGCGCCGAGGGCCTCAAGCTGGCGGGCCTGATGCTGATCCGGACCCGGCCGCTCGGTGTCCGGTAAGGCCTCCGCGACGGGCGTCTTGAGCTTCAATTTTGTAGCCGCTTCGCCGGCACCATGGCGGACTTGGCCCGGCTCGACTCGGCCCGTCCCAAGGGCACGGGTTCGCCGGAACCCGTTTCGTTCCCGAATAGCGACCCGGCACCACGCAGCCGGGCGCCGCCGCCGACTAGGTTTGCCTCCGACGCGCCGCGCCCAGTCGCGCCTCGCGCAGCCAAAACACGATGCCGGTTTGGTCCACAGCCGCCTTACAGCGTGGCAGCCACCGACTTGGTTCGGTTCAGGTTCGGAAGCGTCGGCTCTCGGCTGCAGGGGCAGATGAGGCATGGACCAGCGCCGCCTCCCATTCCCACTCCGCGTTCCGAAACAGGTCCGCGAACCCGGCGCGCCCGTTGCGGGGCTCTAGGGGCCGAGGGCAGCCAAACAACAATCGGCATGCCCCGAGAGGCCAGTCAACCGGCTGTCTCCCCGACTCACTGCCACGAGGGCGAGGGCGGCGAGGGTCAAGGAAAGAGTCCGCGTGGGCGAGTCTGGACCAAGTTGTGTCACAGCGCGACAGCCGTCTGATTCCGAGCACTGCTTTCGTCGCTCTGTCTCTCTCGCACTCATGGGGCGGTCCGTAGGGGCGCGAGAGAGACAGCGACGAAGCAGTGCTCGGAATCAGACGGCAGTCGGAAGCAACAAAGGCCGTCGTTTTGTCCGTTCATGAGACATTGGCAACATCGCCTATCCTCGCAAGCCGACGCCACTCTTTCCGATCTTCTTTCTCTCTCTTGCCTAGTCCCAGTCTCAGACCCATGGCTCGAGCGAACTAGCCGAGCAGCGGCCTGTGTGGCTCGCCTCTTTGAGATTGACCCGCATAAATCGAGTGGCTGTCCTCAATCCGAGAGATCCGCGAGAGATCCAGGGCGTGGCGGAGGCCGAGGGGCCGCAGCCTCCCCGCGAGCCCCGCCCCCGTATACATGCGTGTAAACAACAAATAAGTGACAAAGTCAATGTGGTCATGGATAACTTGAACTTGGCCTACGCTCGGACCGTCCGTTCCTCGCAGGCAAGGCACATCCAAGGGAGACTTTGCATGGTGGTCTGGAGCGATGCTGTGTATGTGTGTGTGTGTGTGTGGGGGGGGGGTCATTATCTCCCCTCAAGTCCTCTTCGCTATCGGGCAGTGTCAAGTTCAAGTTATTGTGGCGTTTATCTTGCAGTGTCAAACGTCTTGTTTTCGTTTTTCTGTGTCCAAGTCGGTCCGCGAAAAACAAGAAGCACGCTGTTTCGGAGGGTTTAGGATTCCGAGGGTGCGGCACGGCGTGTCTGGAGTCTTCTGACTTGACGCTCTACAGGTTGCCTAAAAAAGGAGGGCCAATGCCACTGCAGCTGGCGAAGTGCGTTTGGACTCCTGCGTCACTTGATTCAAGTTGCCGGTCGGCTTCAAGGTTCTGATAGTAAGTTGCTGGTTGGCTGGCGCGTGGCGGCGGCTGCGGAGCCACGCCGATATACTTACACGAGCGACGGGCCTCCTCAGCTAGCTCGGACAAAAGACAGGTGTCCATTTCGGTGGGGGCCTGCATGTCGGCATCCTGTGTTTCTTTTTCTCGCTTTTTCTCGTGGTTCTAGTAAACCGTAGTAAACTGGTGAATGTATAAAACGCGACGCATGCCGGTCTCTGGAACTAAGAGGAAACGGAATAGTGCACGCCGTCCCCGCCGAAGGGCATCGGTGTTTGCTCGTTCGAGGGCGGCCAAGGAGTCTGTCTTCGTTGGCGCGGCTTCGCGCGGGGGAAGTCCGCCCCGCCGGTCAGTGGAGGCATGGTGGAGGGCCGGGCCGGGGACGCGCGGCGCGGTGCGGCGCTGCCGGTGCCTCCAGCGCGTCCGGCCCGACGGCCAGACGGACGACGGCACGCCGCCGAACGAGACGCGAAGCGCGAAGCGCGTAGGGACGCGGTGCAGCTTTGGCTCTCCGCCACGCGTTGTGACACCGACACCCCCAGCAAGCCGTCAGCGAGTCCGCGCAGCCTTGGCCACCGACGGCCTCTCATCTCCATCGAGGGCTCGCGTCGCCGCGTCGTCGGCCAAGCCTGCAGCGAAGCCTGCGGCCTGCGCGCGCCTTTGGCACGGCGGGGTCCTTATCGGCGCGCTCAGTGTGCCCCGAGGAGGCGGGCCAAGCGTCGTACCGCCGTGCTGCTCGTGCCGCGCCACGCGCCTCCAAGCTAGCCACCTCCAAGCCAGCCGCCCCCACGTCAGCCGCCCCCAGATCAGCCGCCCCCGAGACAGCCGCCCCCGAGACAGCCGCCCCCGAGACAGCCGCCCCCGAGACAGCCGCCCCCGAGACAGCCATGACGAACGAGCTGAGCGTGGCCGTGATGCTGGCCGGGCCGTGCCTCGCCGCCGCCCTCATCATCCTGAGCAAGCAGTGCCGGTACTTCCTCAAGTACGCGGTGTACTTCGTCGGCGTCTCCCTCGTCTCCGTCGGCCTCATCCCCGCCTTCCTGTTCCGCCCCTTCAACGTCCTCAACCTGGTGTGAGTGCCGAAGGGGCCGTGCCGCGGCGCCTTACTGTTGTGTTGGTCACCTCGTCGTTGTTATTTGCGAGAACCACCGCGTTATGCTCGCGTGCCCGTTGCTGTGTCTGCGCGACGCTTCGTTAGCCGTCTGGTTTACTCGTGTGAGAGTAGTGAGTTTCCATTCAATTCAGCCATACTTTTTGCCCAGGCTTTGTCTCACAAAGTGCCTATCTAGAGACGTTTTCCGGCTGAAATCTAAGCGAGTGGGAGTGAGTGCAAAAAGTGGCAGACCGCTGCCGGACTCGTTTGTGTCTGATCCTGCTTCGCTCCGGCTTGCTCTTGTGAAGTGTTGCGATTTTCCCGCCGCAGCGTTACTTAGTACTCGGTTCCCATGCGCTGCTCCCGACTCGGTTTGATTGGCAATTTGCGCCAGGCCGACAGTGTGCCGACAGTGTGACGACAGTCTTTCCGGGCGAGCTTGACGATTGTGCATGGGAGCCACGGCGTCCCGTCCGTCTGCAGTCTGATTTCCTTTCCTCCGAGCTCTGCTTTCGTCGCGCTGTCTCCCTCGCACTCGCGGGGCGTACCGCGTGGGTGCGAGAGAGACAGAGCGACGAAGGCAGTGCTCGCCGTCCTCCCTGTTCGGAAACGCGAACGGCTCGAGCACGCGCTCGCATTGTTTCCCATCTCTATATCTCTGGAGATGTTTGTTGGAGGCGATTCGGCTGCGGCATGGCTGCGGCAACGACGGAATCCTACCGCCTGTTTGTCCTCGCTTAGTCCCACGTTAATAAGTATGCATTTTTAAACTGGAGGAAATTTTCGGAGGAACCTGCTTACCTCATTTAAGTCAAACGCGCTCGCATTATCGCACGAGTGGCCTGCCCTTCCCACACTGGGAAATCCTACTTCCCTTTGTAATGGGAAAAAAAGCCAAAAGGAAAAATAGTTGATTTACTCGAGGGAGGGGACGCAAAGGCGGTTTCCCCGGCGATTTGACTTTAGCTTTAAGTTCGAGTTTGAGCGTCTCTATCGAGCCCGCCTGTCTCTGTCGAAGCACTCATTTGGCGTAAGCGGCAACCCGGTGTGCACGCGTGCGTCGCGTTGCCTACTCTGCCGTTCGCAGGCGGCGTGGGCGCCGGGTAGGCAACCCGATGTGCACGCGTGCGTCGCATTGCCTACCCTGCCGTTCGCAGGCGGCGTGGGCGCCGGGTAGGCAACCCGATGTGCACGCGTGCGTCGCATTGCCTACCCTGCCACGGCTTGACTTTCCTTTTAAGCTCGCGAGAATCTCTATCGAACCTCTGTCGAACCGTGCTCGGTTCCTGCGAGTTCCTCCTGGCAACGAATAGAGAAAGCGTGGGAAGTTCGAATTGAACCAACCAGCAAAGTGCCGGTCTAACCAGAGGTGCGCGCGGCCGAACCTTCAACCAAATGAATCAGCCATTTCCTGTTCTATCTAAGAGCAATTTCCAGCAAAAGGCGAACAACCCGTGAAATTGTGCGTACCCTTCTCCTACCGAAATCACGCGCAAACTCAGGCAGAAGGGCGTCCTTGAAACGATTGAAACTCTCGCAGACACGCAACTTCTCTAGGGAGTTTAAACGTGGAGTTGTTGTCCCCTGAGGGACAGAGACTTGAATTTGCTGAACCAAGAGACAGGTTGCTTGCTGGGTGCGAGGTGTCGGGTGGGTCCACTGTGATTGGCGCCACCATTATCGTCATGTTTCCCTGCCGCAGGCTGGCGTCGGCGATATGCAAGCACATCTCAAGATTGATCGGCCTTCGGTGGACGCTGCGGGGTAGCCAGCACCTGGCGGAGCAGAAGGCCTGCGTCATTGTCGCCAACCACCAAAGCTCCCTGGACATCCTGGGTGAGTCTCATCCCTCACCTTGCCTTGTCATCCAACTGCACTGTAAGGGACCATATTTTTGTGACCGTGGATTTCCCTCTGCTCCAAGGCATGTTTGAGATCTGGGCCATCATGCGGAAATGCACCGTGGTGGCCAAGAAAGAGCTGTTCTACGCGTGGCCCTTCGGCCTGGCCGCTTGGTTGTGCGGGCTCATCTTCATCGACAGGCTCAACGCGGGGGGAGCGAGGGCTGCCATCAACAAGGCCGCCAGCATCATCAAGAAGGACCAGGTGCGTTGTCTGAGGTCTCTCCCACGGCTTCTCTCGTTCCCATTCCCCATTTCGTGCACTGTCCTTGAACTTTTGCCGTTTGCTCTTTTGATTTAGATTAAATTGTGGATTTTCCCCGAGGGTACTCGGAAAAATACTGGAGAGATCCACCCTTTCAAGAAGGGAGCTTTCCATGTTGCTGTGAGTGCTCAGCTACCGATTCTACCTGTTGTGTACTCTCCATACTACTTCCTTGATGACAGGCATCGCACTTTAGACAGTGGTAAGGCTTCTGGGCTCAAATGTACAGTTTATTAATTTTTAACAGATGAGCATGATTCACGCTATGATTTCTACTATGTTTTGCAGGGAAAGTAATTATTTCTGCCCTTCCCCCCATTTCTACTGAGGGCTTGACCATGGATGACATAGACGGCCTCATGCAGAAAGTCCGAGAACATATGACAGAAGAATTCTCCAAGATGTCGAATGAAGTAAAAGCAGACATTGTGCCATCATGCAATAGTCGTTCTTCAAAAGCGGAGTAGTTCCTCTGTATAGTTTTATTCAATCATTAAACTGTACAGTTGATCATTAGGCCAAAGCATCCATGAAGTTGTTTAATGCTTTATATTTTGGGAAAAAATTCTTCATGTCTCGTTTCTTTTTTTATGGCTGTTGAATTTTGATCTTTGTATGAACTCTTTTAATAATGTATTATGCCTTTATTTAAGTTTGATAGTATCGTTTTCAAAGTGTATTTTGTTTGCGGGTAAAGGATTAGGGAATGAAATTTAATTTTAAGAGCTCAATGGGTAGTGTTATGTTAACCATTTGTTTTATGTAAGTGTTTTCTTTTCCTTTTTGGTAATGTTAGTATCACTATATTGTCAGTGACTTTGTTCTTTTTTGTTGCGCATCCTGTGATAGTATTCTACGTTTGTCAGATTTGGCTGGTGTTTTATCCCACATCCTGTGGCATTTCTTATTTTGGCATGGAGTTGAAATTAAGAGTAATACTGTATGTATTATACATCATTTCACTTTGCTTTTTAGGTCACTTTTGAAATTTGGACAAGAATACCTTTGATGCAGTTTCTATTTAAGCCAAACTGACCTCTCTGTAATAATTCTTTTACTTGTGTATTAGCCATGAGTTTCAAGTTTCCTGGACACAAAATGCCCAGATGATAATTCCATGATGACCGTCCATTTCTTATTATGGGCAGAAGTACCTTAATTTTATCTTATAGTAGGCTCTTGTTGGTGCTTTCACCATATTAGGCTTTTTTTCTCTCAATAGTTGCTACTGGTAAAAAGGGTTGATAATGCAGCTTTAAACTTAAAACATGAAAGTAATAAAATGTGGCCTCCTTTATTGAGGGCATTTGTTTCCTTTCGACTTAGTCACAGATAGTGAAATGACTGATATCTCAATGAGGTTGTAATAATTGTAGGACTTGCTGTTGTACCCTTCATAATACTTATTTTTATTTAACTTTTCAATCGTGTTTACACACCCTTGTAAAATTTTCTCTAGCTCAATATGTTAAACTTTCAATTTTATGTTAGAATGGACTAGCCCATCAGCAGTTCGGTCGAAAGTAGTTAAGTATTTGCCTCAATGTTGATTATTTTGGTAATGTAACATCATTCCTCTTAGATTGGATTGACTCTTTTATAACTGGCTTATTCTTCTTGTTCCAATTCTTCGTCTTCATCATCTTTTTCTTCTTCTTTCTTCCTCTGGACATTACAGAGGCCTTCTTAATAATAAAAACAGTAATAAGAAGAAGAATGCTAGTGACCAAGTGCTCAGAAAACTAAGTTTTTTCAATGAGGATGTATGAGGCATTGTAATATTCTAACAGAGGCAAAGGAATGTTAACTGCTCAGTTGATCTAAAATTTCAACTTTAAACAAATGTGTTTGTGAGTGGATTGGTTTTTCAGCATGATAGAACAATGTATAACATAACATTTAAAGCAGTATTTCGACCTTGTTTTAGGCGCATGTTCCTATTCCTGTTTTAAACTCATCATTGTATTTTCCTTCAGCTCGCATTAGGTTTGTCCTTAAGTTCCATTTTTTATTTTAAATTTGTTTCTGTATAGAATTTAAAAAAAAATTGCCCTATATTTGCCAAAATTTGTTGCTCACTGCAAAATTGTGTCAAATCTCAAGAGATCATTGGAAGTTCATATTTATACTGTAGTTCTTTATCATTAAAATATTTCTGTATCATTTCATGATGGTTTTGAAACCTATGGAAAATTTCACTTCTGAAGGGAAGGAGTGGGAAACAAGTAGGATTGTTTGAAATGTTAGGCAGGAAGCTAATGTGTTCAATGTACATGTATACAAAATGTGTCAGTTACATGTTACAGAAGTTTTCGTTGAGTGTTTTCATTGTTTCATTACATATTATCATAATATGTACTTTTCTGGCCCTTCAGTTCACATGTGTGTGTGAAGCCAAGCACCTAATTTTCTTGCCAAGAGTGATGAAATAACCACCCAGTGCAAAAGTCTAAGGGGGCTACTTTATGTAGATTCGCTTACACACGTTCCACATTCATGTAGATCTTGTTCAGCTCAATGAAGTAATTTGGACATGGCTGTGCTATTTTTATGTGGTATGACAAACCGAGATGAAAATATTTCGGAATATAATAACCTCCCTATCTCATCCTGTGTTCTGCTCTATAAATCATTTGCTGATTCTAAATTAACCTGTTGTGCAATATGTTTGAAAAGAGCAAGCTTATCTTCTTTCTTTGATAACATTTAGACTTGCGGAGCCAAGCTTGCAAATTTTCTGCTGTAGGTATGGGAAAGAAAAATGGCCAAAGATATTTGTCAGTCACTCTTGTGATTTTGTAAAAGTAAAGAAACTAGCTAAGCTTTTCTTGAGGTTGTGTCTCATCATCTTTTCTTCTTCTTTTTATCCTTAGTGGTTGTAAATGACCAAGATGTTGAAGGCTTCATGTTTACAATGAGAAATTATGAGTTGATATGGCCTTCTATTATAGACTTTCGTACCTGTGTAGGGAAGGCATTTGCCTCTACTGTAGCTGTTGTTTGCCCACCTGTATTTCTTTTGATATTGTTTTAGTGTGAATAAATTTTATCAAGTATCTCTTGGAATATTTTATTAAGCGGACCACAATGCAAGAAACGCCCTCCTCTCACAACGACATTTGAAAAATAAAAAAGTCTGATGTGGCTGGTTTTGATCCCGCGGGGAGAGTAATGTTTTTGGCGCCATCCTTATACCGCGCCGGGAGGGTAGACCTCACTTTTGGCACGTCACAGGAGACGTGCAACAGAAGACACCTGCCACGCCTGGGAGTCGGAATTGTCCTTGTCCCCTCATTGCGGTGAACGCTTCCTCTACGCCCTGAGTCACTTTTCCTTTCATCGACAGCCTCGACCCATTAGGCCTCCCCTCCGCCTTGAGCTAGTCTAAAAGTTTTCGGGAATATGATTTCCCGCCGCTGCAGTGCGCCTGCGGTGTGTGCCCGCCAAACGGCTGCGTCAGTTGGGTCGCCTATCCAGACGGGGCAAGCGCATAACGGAGGAGCAACAGGAGCAGCAGAGGCGGCATCGGCTTGCGGCTCCGGCCTTTCCGCCGTTGCTCGTCGCCTCCGTGGCCGTGGGTTGGCCGTCGGCACTCGTACTCGTGCACTGCATGGCAGGCATGCGGCACAGACAATCAAGAGCCAAAGCTTGTGAGTACCTGGGCAGTCAACTGGGCAACTGGGACTGGTCGGATCGAGGGATAGATACATCGGGATAGATGAGGCTTTGAAATTTAGTACGCCAATGTTCTTTTTTCGGGATGTGGTATTTTATTATTTTACAAGATATACAAATGACTGAGACTGAGACCCTGTTGTATACATACACACATTGCTCCGTGAGCTATTTCCTGGATTTGGATGCACTTGTCTTCCTTCACGAACCGACTCCAGCCGTTCAGACAGAGCGGATCACCAAACGACAAAGACATAAAAAGAAACTTGTTTCTTTGCTCCATACATATGTAAACAGCGGGAACGGAAGCGACCTCGCAATCTGAGTTGTAATAAAACAAAACTTCACATGCGCAACGTAGAAAATATCGTATAAAATTAGTTGACTGTCTCTTTAACTGTGACTTCTCCAATTTGACGAGGTCACAACACTCACTCACACACTAACGCACGATCACACACAAACACAAAACGATCACAAAAAATATACAGAAACAATGAGCAGTCACACACACACAAACACACACACACTTACACGTGTCTTTCGCGGCCGCAGGGCTGATGCAAAGCTCGCCTTGCGCGCCACAGGACATTTAGTTTACAAAATCTACAATAAATCATACTAACTAGGAACTCTTGAGACATTGGCTGTGGTAAGACTGGCGACTCAAAAGAAGCAAAGGTGTCTATACACGTCACCCACCAAACAATCTACAACAACAAAAAACAACAATGTTGTCGGCCGGCTCGGGCCTTCGCGCGCCGATTGCCGATTTGAGAGTCTCTGTTTTGGACTGGACGGCGGTTGCTTTGAACGGCGGTGCGCCGCTCGGTATGCGCCTGCACTGCAGGGACTGCAGGCCTGCACACTGCCACCGGCGGCACCTGGCCTGTCCGTCCAGGCGGGCTAGGACCCGCCCGCGAGGTGGTCAAATGGGCCGAGCCCTGGGCCGCCGGGTGGCTGGCCGCTAGGGCTTTTGGCTGCTTTTGGCTGCGTTTGGCCCACCGGGTGCAGGCCAGTGCAGACCGGGGGCTGGGTAAGGCTTTGGCATGGGGAGGGCTGCTCCCGGAGGTGTGGCCTGCTGGGCGGGGCGTCCTAGTCCTCCCTGCCCATGCCCTTGCGCTTGGGCGAGATGAGCCGCAGCATGGTGACGACGGGCGCCTCGAAGGCCAGCGACAGCACGAAGGCGAAGAGGTAGGACGCGGACAGCATGCCCAGGAACAGGATGAACTGGCGGGGCAGTTGGGGAGGTCGGTTAGAGTGCGTCAGAAAAGTGATTGCGAAAGCCTGTGGCGGTACTCACGATGGTGTAGGCGCCGAGGTGCAGCGGCGCGTCCATCTTCATGCTGAGCAGACGGATGACGACGGGGTGCACCAGGTAGGCGCAGTACGTGACTCGGCTGAAGGGGTACAGCAACGTCCACGACAGGATCCTGTTGACGGGGCCTGGGGGGCAGGACACACACAACACAGTTCAACGACTCGCTCCCCGGTTCGAATCCTCCGAATGTGCCGTGCTTTGTCTACTTACCGCCGTAGCCGCACGAGCAGGCGATGACGATCCAGGACAAGCTCATGGCCCAGGCCGAGTGGGACAGCGAGGAGTAGGCGGCCGCCGTGATGGGGTCCAGGACCGCGCCGTACAGGCCGTACAGCAGGGACAGCAGGCACGCGAACGACAGCGACCACCCCAGCACCACCGTCACCTGCGACAACGGAAGGGTGTTGGTCAACTCAAAGGCCCCACGCTCCGACTGCTCGGTTTACGGCTCGGCCTGCCCACCTTGCTCATGCGGATCTTGCAGTCCGTCTTGAAGAGGATCCAGCCCACGGCCATGCCCACCAGGTAGGGCCCGAGGCGCGTCCAGGGCTTGTCGTAGATCTTGTCAAACAGCGCCAGCGGGTCGTCCTCGGACGGCATGTGCTGGTTGGAGTAGGCGATGTAGGCCGTGGTGCACCACGAGCTCACCATGAACGTGAACAGCGTGGCGGCGGACAGGCGGATGTGGCTGCGGCAGAGGGGCGGTCAGACACGGGCAGGCACACGCGGGCATAAGGATACGGGATTGACTTCGACCAGAGAGAGACAGCGCTGCTCAGACCGGGCCATTGCACGACGCACGGCGGCGCCCGAGCCCCGGGAGTAGGCAACACCGCGAGCCTCGCTGGCATCGCACCGGGCCCGGTTGCCTACCCACGGGTGCGCGACCATGGCGGCCACCATGGCGGCGACCGGACGCTGCTCGCAGTGAGGAAACCAATCCGTTAAATAATGTTTGCGGTGGACGGTGGCGCCCTGACGAAAGCGACCACACGGCACGGCGGCAGGGCGGCACGGCGGCATGGCGATGCCGACCCTAACCTTGGGTCATTACACCCGTTCCGGTAGCCTCTGGAGCCTCTGGGGCTGTGGAGCCTCCGGAGGCTCCGGTGACGCAACGGAGTCATTACAGGGACGTAACAGCGTTCGTGCTTCGGCGGGCCGAACCGGGCCGTGCCGAGCCGAGCCGGGCGGCCAAAACTAGTCTAGGTGCGCATGGAAAGTGGCCTGGTTCTCTCTGTCTCTCTCTCTCTCGCTCGCTCGCACGCGCGATCCGGTCGCGCGGCCCAGAGAGAAAGAGAGAGAGGGAGAGAGGGGGGCGGCCCGGTCGAGTAGTGATTCGTGAAACTGTTTGTCAGCTCAGCGAGTTCATGCAAGAAGAAAGTGTCAGAAAGCGCGCAATCCAAGGAGAGCCGGGAGGATGCCGGGCCGCGCAAGCAGCGCAAGCATGGCCAGGCATGGCCGGGCCGCAGGGTTGTCGCCCCCGTAGCCTCGCTGCCAGGCTGCCTGGCCGCCTGGCCGCCTCGCGGGCCATGCCATATGCAAAGCAAAGCTGTCTCGTTGGGCTCATTGGCAGCAGTGGCCTGGTGCTGGCGGCGCTGCCAAGCTGCTGGGCTGCTCACCCAGATCGCCACCCGAGCACACATTACACGATTGAGATGCGGCTTGCGGCGGTGGCGCGACGGGAAGACTTTCGGGACGGTCATCGCGCGTGATAGCGATCGATGCGGGCAGTGGCCGGGCAAGACCGGGTAAGGCCCCGCCAGGCCGTCAAAGCAAAGCAGGCGTGAGAATAGAGCCGGGCGATTATTGGTTGGTTAGGTGGGGTTGCTGCTGCTGCTGATGCTGTTACAGGCGCCCTCCGACGCCTCGCTCGCGCCGCAGGGCGAAGCGCGTCCCATACCGATACCAACACATGCACCAGGGCCGGGTGGGACGCTGGCATCGTCAGTGAAGTCAAAGTCAACAAGAGGCTCTTGTCGGTTTAACGTTGGGGAAGTCCACTTACTTTAACCTGGAAAATCAACACGGATTCGTCAGCAACAGTACACGCCTTCCACACCCACACTCTCAGCAGCACAGGTCAATCAATAAGTGTAAATCGTTACAACAGGTCGTTACGGTACAGGTACAATCGTTACAGGTCATTTTTTTTTAAGGTAAACTGAGTAAAGTTCATTTTAATGGACATGCACCGCACCCCTCGGGTCAAGTTGAAGCGGGCGAGGCGAGGCGCTGCTCGCGGCCGTCGCGGCGGACTCACCTGGTGGCCAAGATGAGCAGGATGATGCCCAGCACGTAGAACTGCGTGTCGTCCGCGAGGTACCAGCTCCACAGCATGCACTGCAAGAAATCTCGCTCGGTTATTGACCGCCGTGGAAATTGTCGGGGAGAGACGAGGGCGTTATTAGGGGGCGGCCTGTTCCTGGAGTCGGCGGGGCAGGCACGCCACGCCACGCCACGCCCGGAAGCGGACAGTGGCTGAGCACGCCGGAAACGCGGAGGAGGAGGAGAAGGAGGAGGAGAGGGTCTCCGGAGCAAACTGGAGTTCCCTCCGGAGGGACCTCGGGGACACGCCACACGCGCGCAGCGCGGCGCGGCGACTCTTTGGAACGCACCATGTCCTTAACCGGGAAGAGGGTGTTGATGTAGAGGACGTTGCGCCACCAGTAGTTGGGGCAGTTGATGTGGTCCATGGTGGGCGGCTCGAAGACGCTGTTGTGGTAGAACCACTTCATGGTGACCTGCACAATCCCCAGGGAGAAGAGGTACGGCGACGTCAACCTGGAAGCATGTTTACGTTTTTTACGCGTCATGGAGCTTGTCTTTTTCTGCGGGAATGCAAACTGGTCAAACCTGAGGAATCGGTAGATGAGCAGGCCGACGAACTCGAGCGCGTTGGAGCGGACGCCCGTCGTCTTGGTGATCTTGGTCACGTCCAGCTTGGCCGTCGTCCGGAAGTACAGGAAGGAGACGAGCAGGCCGCTGAAGAGGAAAGGCGGGCATTAGGACGAGAGGAACGCGCTCCGATTTGAATCTCGGAATCTCCCGCGAAAAAGAGCCCGGCCGAGCCGTGACGACGCGCACGCAATGTGTGCCAGTGCGGCCAGCGCGGCCAGTGCGGCCGGCGTGCGGGGGAAGTGGCGCATTATCTATCAGTGACGCAAGCGCCGCGCACGCGTGCCCCACGCACGCCACGCCATGCCGGGGTGCCGTGCCGCGCCGTGCCGTGCACGTGATCGCCATGCCCGATGCCGAACCGGCGCACCGGTGCACCGCACAGTGGGCCAGAAGACCGGCGCCGGCGGCCTAAACTCCAGACGCGCTTCAAGCTCCAGTGTCGCTAAACAGTACTTGAACTGCACGTGTGACCCCACCAATGGATTCCTCGTTCGGAGAGGAGTCCATTGGTGGGGTCAAACGCTCGGTTCGAGTACTGTTTAGCGACTCTAGAGCTCAAAACGCGTCTAGAGTTTCGGCCGCCTGCACCGGTCTTCTGGCCCACTGTGCACCGGCGGCGGCGCTAGCAAAGCACGCGTCTCTTCCTCTGAATGACTTGGAGTGGCGCCGACCGGCTCGCCGACTGGTGACCCCGGTTTCGGCAACTCGTTTCGGGATCGCGATGCTGGTGCTGTCGGCTAGCCCGTCGCGTCCCGGTCGAGGCTGGCCCCGGGGAGGCCCACCGTGCCGCCACGCCGCCACGCGCCACGCGCCACGCCCCCACGAAGAGGCCCTGGAGCTTGGAGGCAGCGTCGCGGCGCGGACACGCCCCAAACCGTGCCGTACCCGCGGTACCCACGGAGTGCCGACTGCAGGGGATTAATTCATAGTGGGATGCCTGGAACAGGTCCTGGCCAATAGGGCGGCCGCGGGGCGGGCAGCGGCCGACGCCCGATACGCGATCCGCGATTCGCACGCGGCCGATTTGCAATGTAAAGAGAGTGACGCAACGCGTTCGGGTAGGGCGCGTTCGAACGGCCAAGCTCGCCGTCTCGCTCGCACGCGGCGAGCACGCCGCCTCCATTAGCGGGCCGATGCCGAGAGAGACGGAGACGGAGCGAGGCGCATTCGCGGATGTGCGCACCCGCCACTCACTCGTTCACACACACACACACCAGCAGAACGCGTTGACACACACGAGCGCACCTTGATGGGAGTAACGCACTTCTGATACGCAGGTGCGGCAATATGTCGTCAATACGCATTGCTCACAGCTAGCCGGCACTTGGAAAAAAAATGAAAAACAAGTGCGAAACTTGTTTTTTGTAACGTTTTTTCGTCGTTGCTCTTCGAGTGTGGGTGCCGGCCTGCCCGCGGCGTGCGTCGCGGCGTGCGCATTGCGTCACGGCCGTGTCGCCGTGTCGCGGCGCGGGGCGTCACGGGCACGGCAGTCGTTCCGGAAGAGAAAAGGCGAGTCGCTTTCGAATTAGCGGCGCGAATTAGAGTCGGGAGGCTGCGGGGCTGGCCGAGAGCCGAGAGCACACACTGCACTCTGCACTCGCAGCATGCGCTCATCGGCGGCGAGTGCCAGTGCAGTGACGTCTCCGTCTCCCGGAAGCGGTATGCACAGCAAGCAGCCGCCGCACAGTGGGCCAGCCTCTGAGTCAGGGTGAAGCGAAGTGCGATGACGTGTGCATTGACCGCGGCCGCGCGTTCGGCAGTGCAACGCTCCTCTAAAGTGGGGGTTTGTTCTCCGGTTAGCCTCCCCGCGGTAACAGTGGTAACAGCGAGTGCAAAGAGGCTACCTCTGCCGGCCCCAGCGAGGCTCGCGCCGTCCGTCCAGTGCCCCGGCCGGGACCCAGGGGGCCTCTTGGGCAAACAGTGCTAAATGTACGCAAACGCGGCGCAGACGCGGCGGCCGGGAGCCGCACCCTAAGTCGCTAGGTCGCCCTGCAGCATGCCTGCAGCGTCCCGGCCGAGGAGTGCGTGCCCTGGAAGCGAGTTTGGCTTCGGCAAGGACGCCAGTGCTGAAAATGGTCCAGCACGTTTTCACCCCTCCGACGAATGGCACTGCGCGGCCACCCGTGACATCAACAAAGCCGCCGGCGAGCCGAACCGCGGCGGCAGCGGACGGATCGTGGCAAGATGGCGTACCTGACCATGAAGAAAGTGTCGACGGAGAAGGCGCCGTTGCTGATGGTCTGGAAGAGCAGCTCTTTCTCCACGAGCCCGCGCAGCTCCATGTTGTCTGCGGGCAAACACACAGTTAAGTTACACTGTTACACGCGTGGCGCGTGACAGGACAGGCAGGGCGTCAGCGCCGGCTGGCCCCCAAATTGCAGGGCTTGGTCCGCGCCTATTCCGGGCGGCGTCACGACGCGGGAGCCATTATCGAGGCCATCAAGACCAGGAGGCTGGCGGGGCGACGCGACGCGAGGCGACGCGAGGATGGCACCCCGGCGACGCGAGGATGCGCGAGGATGGCCAAGGGGCGGGTCGCAGCACGCCGCGCGACTTGATAGTGTGTTGACGGCGAGCACGACCAGCGACCCGTCTCACCGTCGCGTGACTCCGCGACTCGGCGTGACGCAGAAGCGTGCCGTCAGCGCGACCGGAGCCACGACCCCGACCTCCAGACCGATGCCGGGTGTCTCTGCCGCTTCCCGCGTGCCCAAATTCGTCATAAACGCCACGGGCGACGCGTCCCGTTTGGCCCTTGCTTGGCCCTGGCTTGGCCCTGGCTTGGCCCTGGCTTGGCCCTGGCTTGGCCCTGGCTTGGCCCAGGCTTGGCCCCGGCTTACCCGAGTACTTGAAGGTGACGATGCAGGTGTGTCCGAGGACGACCCAGGCCATGGAGATGGCCTTGAGGCCGTGCAGGGTGGGGATGGTGTCGGCGCCCACGCTCTTGTCGAAGATGGTGGCGATGTTCCGTCGCAGGGAGAAGGACAGCAGCAGCTCCACCCACACGTCTGCGACACCAAGCAGTGTGCACTGTTATTAAACCGTCGCCGCGGATGATTGACGGCGTGTAGACGTGTGACTGATTGGGCCCGGCGCCTTCGCCCGGCAAAAACACCGGAGTGTTGTTGTTCTTTTTCGCGCGGAACGAAGCAGCCCTGTTCATTATCACACAATGGCGCGGCGTGCCCAGGCGTGCCAGTCACGCGCGCAGGCGCTGCAACCGACTGCACCGCCTCGCCGCGAGGGCTGGCTGGCTTGGCTGGGCTGCCTGGCCGCGGAGCCCAAAGGTCACAGCCACGACGATACCGCACTCATTAGCAGTGCCGCCGCAAGAGTGTGTCACTCCAGGAGGGCGTTCCAGTTCGCTGTTCGCGATCCTGCCGATCGTCCCGTCGTCGACGTTGACCGTCGACTCGACTCACTGGTGGGGTCCGTGTCGGAGCTGGCGCTGGACGGCGCCCGCGAGGCGCAGGAGTCGCCGCTGGAGGCCGCGCTGCCCGTGTACACGCTGGTGGCCAGCTCTGCCGACAGTAACGTCAGAGTCAACACAACCGAAAGACGCGCGCTAGGGCGAACGGGCGGTTCGAAGAAAGGCGAGCTAACGTACCGCTGCTGCTGCTGTAGAGCGACGACTCGGTGGCGGGGGCGTGGCTGGGCGCGGCGGCGGCCGGCGCGGTGCCCACGGTGCTGACGGCGGGCACGGTGACGTCCAGGCGCACGCCGAAGTCGCCCTTGTCGCGCATGCCCACGAGCCGGGGCGCGCCCAGCCCGAAGGAGTAGTTGTCGTAGCCGGAGTGGTTGAGGCCGTTGAGGCTGGTGCGCTTGCGGTGCTCCAGCACCAAGTCGTAGGCCGTGCCGGCGGCCAGCAGGACGGCCACCACGAACGACACGCCGCTGCGGCAGATCGAACATCGGACAGATTAGCAAGGCGCGTCCGTGCTCGACTTGAGGCTGGCCATGAATAAGGCAGCAGGGCGGCAGGCCGTTGACTCGGCGCAAGGCATCGCGAGGGGAAGGACAAGTTCGTCGCGGCCTTCGCGAGGGTCTCCTCCGCCTCCTGCCAACGGCACTGCTGCTAAAAATCGATTCATTTTTCACATCCCCTCCTTGCTCCTCGGTACAGCAGTACAGCAACCTCACACGACGATCGCTGGCGCAACTCTCATCGGCTGGGGATACTATTCGAGCGCCCCCCACTGCCTCGGGCTCGGGCCCAGCCGGGCCCAGCGCACCCGTCCGCCTTGGGCCCGCTGCCGCGCTGCTGCATGGCTGCCGCGCTGCCAAGCATACGGCATGGAAATGATGATGCATAACTTTCACTCCCACAAGCCCCTCGGATTATTGTCATCCGGCCGGGGTCAAGGCGTCAAGCCAAGGTGGGGCCTTGGACCCGCCAGACTGCCCAATCTCCCCCACTGGAGGTGTGAGACTGGCGCCACCCTTTGGTAGAGACTTGAAGCCCCTCCCGGGTCAACCCGAAGTTCCGCCTAAGGCGCGCGTTGAGGTCTCCCGGCCGGACCGGCCAGGCCGGCTGCCTCGGACACTAATACTCACATGAGCACCCAGAAGGTGGGGTCCTCCCAGAAGACGTACTCGGAGGCCGGCATGCGGACCGAGGTGACCTTGAACTGGCGCAGGGCGGCGGCGCGCGGGTCCATCTCGTTGGCGGTCTCCACGGACAGGTCCACGAGGCGGCCGACGTCGCGGGCCCCGCAGCTAGCGGGCAGGCACAGGCCCAGGTTCACCGTGCGTTGCTGTGGCAGGCAGGGCAGAGCGCGAAGCGGTCAAACAAAGGGGAAAAGCAACTTTGTATGTACAAACAACGTCAATGATCAATCAGTTTATTTTAAATTTCATGGCTTCTGCAGAGCATTTTTGTTGTTCTCGGATTGTGTCACCAGGCCAAACAAGCCGCTCCGCGCTGTGTGCGTCGGGCATGCGGGCCCGTCGGGGCCGTCGGGGCGCGTGGCTGCCGGGTCCATCTCGGCGTGTTTGGTTTGTTGGATGCACCGCGGCTGCCAAGGACGGCGACGACGGCGCGCGAGTGTTTTGGCCTGGCGTCCAACCAACCGCCGCGCCACCTCGTTGGCATTCACGGCGGCCGGCACGGTGACCCGCTAGCGCACGCGCGTGTTGCGCCGCCACTGCCGCCACTTTCACCGGCCGGAAGCGCGCGCTTGGTGGCGCTTGGTGGCGCTTAGCGGCTCTTTGCAGTGCTTTGCGGCGCTTCCTGCGGAATGCAAAGCGAGCGCCCCTTTTTCCTTTTTCGCGCCTTTGCCGATTCCGCGTCTGTTCCCGTGGCGTGCGCTCGCCGCGCTGATAGGCATCGCCGGCCGGGCGCTTCCTACACCACGTTACCCCGCCCCGCCCCGCCCCGCTGCACTCACCACTTCGGCCACGGACTCGGGCAGCTGCAGGTCGGCGCGCACCACGTAGAACGCGGAGGTGAAGGGCGGCGACAGGTGCCCCATGTCCTTCCGGTGGGCCGACGTGTTGTGCGCCAGGTTGGAGCACATGGTCTGCGACCCCAGCCAGTAGCTGTTGCCGAAGAAGTAGCCGCCGCCGTACTTGCCCGAAGCATCGCTCACTGGAACAACAAACAGAACGAGGAGGGTGTTAGTGTTCAGCCAAACATGTTGTTTTTTTTCGGCACGGGCCAAATGAGGCCTGGGGCGTCGTCGGGGGCAAGGCTACGTTGGGCCTCCCCCCCCTCCCCCCCCTCCGCCCGGGGCCCAGCCGGGGCTTAACGACAACACGAGGCACGCTCTGCAAACACCGCGAGGCTGGGCACACCGGAATTGCCACCTCGGCGCGACACCTCACCGGTCGTCTGCACCACACGCACACACACGCACACACACGCACGCACGCACCGACACACGTCAGCTGCGGGGCTAGGGGGAGCTTCCTGTCTTCGAAAAATGAAACGTGTTGCGGCTGAGTTGACGAAGCCAAACAAATTACGCCGATTGCATGCCTGTGTAGTCCGTTACGTAACGCGCTGGGGCCCAGTACGCCGCGGCGTGGCGTGGCGTGGCGCGGCGTGGCCGTCAGACCGAGTCCATCTCGCCGTCTCGCCGTCGGGGGCCTGGCCGGGCCGGGCAAACACTCTTCGCTCTACAAACAGCTCGCGGCGGGTCAGCGCCGAGCGTGAGCAGGCGGAATTGGCATCTCGGCCGGGCGGACGGCGGGGAAGGACGGCCCGGTGTGACCGCCACGCCGCAGCGGTCGAGCGGCCGAGCGCCCGACGACGGCAGGATAGGCCGCCCCGTTACACCGCGGTGCGGCGCCAGCCTCGGGATGCCTACCCGCGCGGCGCCCTCGGGCCTCATCAAGAGCAAGATGGCCCAGACGGGGAGCCTGGACGGCGGCCGCTTGCCCAACGCGCTGCTTCAGGTCCTTTTGCGGTGGGTCGAACCGAGACCTCCCAGGCCCAGGCCCGGCCAGGCCCCGGTGGGCCAACCTCCCGGATCGCCTCAAGTTCGGCGGACGCTAGTGCGCTAGCCCTGCAATTAGACGAATGGCGGCCCCACGCACCGCGCACCCACACTGCATAGCGGCGGCAACAAGCCTCCAGCGGCGGAGGCGCGGTCTCTCGGTCGGGGGGTAGCCCCTTGGGTAGCCCCTTGGGTAGCCCACGGCCCACGCCGCGTGCGATGTAACGCTAGCCGGACCGCCAAGGAGAAGGCGGCTGGAAACGTATCCACGCACCAAGGTGACGGGCCTAGACGCAGAAACACTTTGCTCCGACGAACGCCGCCGCCCCACCGCCCCTCCACCCCGATGACGTGTTCGGCGTGACGTTGTCCGCCACCTTGCAGCATCCCGGGCGAGGCGAGGCGAGGCGCGCGCCGACCGGCCGCGCTGGTATGCAGAGCGGCGACGTCCGCGTCAGGTGGCGGGGCGCGGCGGGGCGCGGCGGGGCGCGGCGGCGTGGGCGTTGGCCCGGCCAATTGTTCACCGCGACGCCCTCGGCCACCTTGACCGCGCGCGCCCTTGCCGGGAGCACGGTGCATCCTCCCCTCCGCTGCAGTTGGCGGGCCGGCGGTGGCACCGTGGGTCAGTAGGTCGACTCGTGCGAAGGTCCCCGGGCCGGCTCGCACGGGGCAGGGGGCTTCGTTAATCAGGACGCATCGCGGCGCTTCGTTTATCGGCCCAGCCCCCAGGCCCCCCAGGGCCCCCGCCCGCGGCGCGGCAGTCTTCGTGTGAAGATGGCGATGCAGTTACGCGATGCGAGCGTCGCCGGCCGACACTAACGGCGCTGCCTGCGCGGCCTGCGGGGCCACGCACACACTCACACACACACGCAGCGGGTTGACGAAAGTATGCGTGTGAGTCATGTGTGGCGCCGCTACGAGCACCTACTCGGCGCACTGCTTCGATCGCCTGCTGCCTCGCGGTCTCGTTCTCGTCCTTGGCGGTGTCCTGTGTCCTTGGCGGAGGGGAGGGGGAAGGGCCGCCACCTCGCCGCTCGCCACGTCCGCGCCTCCGCGTTACATGTGCTTTCACCGGCACCAGCGCGGCCAGCGCGGCTCGCAGTCATTGCGCTTCAAGCAGCGCAGTCTGTCGCCCGCTAAACGACTCGCGGTGCCGCGCGGGGCGGGGGCAGCGCGTGGGGGCCATCGTCCTTTACGGCGCACATGCAACGACAATGCGAAGAAAGCACCGGGGGCGAATCAAGCGCCACGTTTGGTTTTTCAGTGTGGCGACGAGAGAGGACCGCGTTGTGGCGGAGTAGAGGGCAAGGTGGCCGCGGCGCTGGCGTGCGTGCGGCTCGGGTGTCCGGGACCAGTCTCAGCTCGCTGACGGGCGCGACGGCGTCCAGGAGGTCCAGGAGGTCCAGGAGGTCCAGGACGGCTCCATGGCACCGGACCGCCTGGTCACGGCCACAGAGAGAGACAGACAGAAGCAACGACGCGCACCTCTTCGAACTCGGCCCGCAAAGTGTTTGTCGGTCGACGCGGCGTTGCGCCACGTGGTGCCTCGCGGTAGTGCCGCAGTGCCACAGTGCCGCGGACGGAGACGGAGTCTGTCTGACGGAGTGCCTGGCGTCGGTGCGGCGGTCCACTTGCCTCACTGTTAGGCCGCCTTTCATAACGGTAATTCGGCAAAAAGGCAGGCGCCAGCCAATCAGTCGCCGCGACAAGGGCTAGGCCTCCCACTAACTAATCCACGTTGCGCTAACGAAGGGCTGCGGCGCTGCGAACCGATCGTCGCCGAGCAACGCTGCGGCCGGTGGAGGCAGACCGGGTCGAAGCCCGCTGCTGATGCAGCCCGATTCCGAACCGAACGGCGCCCTCGTCGTCGAGTGCGAGAGAGACAGCGCCCAGGGCTCCGTTGATTGCGGTGGCGTTTTGCATGGCGCTGTCGGCCGCAGCACTGTACACACCGCGCGCCAACGCCCTGGCCGCCCTGACCGGCCTGCCCTACATGCTCGCTCGCGCTAACACGCCCGCCGGGTGCATTGTCCTAATCGAGAGGGAAAGGGAGAGGGGGGGGGGGCGCTGACGCGCGCTGACGCCCTGACCGGGCCTCATCCCGACCGGCCCGAATCCAATCCGGCCTAATTACAGCGGCGGAACAATGTAAGCCGCCCCGCCGCCGCACGAAAAAGGAGGAAAACGGTTTCGGGCTGCGGACTGCCCACTGCCCCGCATCCCGCATCGGTTTGAGGGGCTGCGGTCAGACTCGACTCGAGACTCGGCCCGTGTCACAATGCGCCAATTCGTTGCGATACGAGTGCGCGGTGCGCGGCGTGCGAGGCCCTGTCACGTGGGCAGTGCCGCCCAGGTTCAAGGGCGACCATCGCGCTCCCCGCCCCGCCCCAGGGGATGACCACGCCGATGGCGGAGGGTCCGGCGCCGGGCGACCAAGTTACAGAAAACAAGAACAAGACACACTCCGCGTTGTGTTGTTGTTCTTTTTGCCTGCGCCTGTGCAGCTGTGCAGGAAAGCGGGCGACCGGGCGGCCCTGGGGCGGCGAGTGGAGTGAACCCGCGCGCTTCCGCGCCGCGTCGCATCGCGTAGTTGTAGGGCCGGCCGGCGGAAAGGAAAGCAAAAAAAGTTGTAAAGGCAGTAAGGAGATGGATGAGGACGCGACGCCTCCACGCCACGTCCTTCCGGGCCGCGTCCTTGGAGAGGCGCTGCCGAGGACGCCGACGACGGCGCATCCTGGGCCCAGAATGCGCGGCTGCTCAGCGAGTGAGACATAAAGCAGAAATCAAACTCTGGGAGCGCTCAGTCGGCACGGCCACAGTGTGAGGCCGCCGCCAGCCCGCTCCCACGTGGTGGCCCGAGTCCGGGGACGCCTCACCGCCTAGCCGCCTTGCGCAAGCAAGGCTAGCGCCTCGGGATGCACCACGTCTGCGAGATCGTCCTCATGGAACCGGGTTTACGGCCGCTGCAGTAAACCTACAACCAGTGGAGTGTCGACGGAGCAGTCTCGCTCCCACGTCGATTCCACTATCGTTGCGACCGGTCACTGTCACGGGATGACAGAGGGGCGGATAGAGCACCGCGGCGCCCCGCCCCGCCTCGCTGCGCCTCGCCTCCCCAGGGTCAAGACCGCCTGGGCCGACTTCCCCGTCATCCCGGCGATGCACTGCCACCGGCACCGGCAGCACCGGCACCCGCCGCCCGCCAAACAGGTCGCTGACTCGCCGGCCCACTCGACCACTCCACATTTCGGCGGGCCGGCCGTTGGACCAGGAATACGAGCCCCGTTCCCCGTTCCCTGTCGTCTCCGTCGCTCTGTCTCTCTCGCACCTATACGGGACGCCCCACGAGTGCGAGAGAGACAGGGCGACGAAAACGGCTCTCGAAATCAGTCTGCCGGTCCGCCAAAACATCCGCCATGTCACCCACTGCTGATTGATTCCCAGTTGACTGACCGCTGCCTTTCGTCTGCCGTCTGCCCTTTGCGCCCTCCCACTGCCTTTCCTGAACCTAGCGCTGCTGGCAACCTAGCCGAACCACACCCGTGGGGCCTCTCGTGTAGGTGCGAAAGAGACAAAGCGGCGGAATCAGTGTGGTGGGCCCGCCGCAGCCCCCGGGCTGGGCACTGCTAGGCGTGTTGCGCAAGGCAGCCTTGCCGGCCGGGCCTTGCCGGCCTTGCCCTTGGAGGACTCGATAGGGCGCATGGGCGCGCGTTGTGGCGGGTCAGTGGCGGCGCCCGGGCGTCGGGCCGGCTGGCCGGCTTGTCCAGTTAGACCAGCGCGGCTCTGCTCGGCGCCTCCGACCGAGTGTCCGAGTCTCGGACAAAGTCTACTATCGACAGTAAAAGTTACGTGGAGCAGGGCGCCGCGTCGCGCCACTGACGGCATCACACGCGCGAACACACACACACACGCCTCGGCGAATGTGGAACAGGACGCCCGTAAATGACCGGAGGCCTCGCCGAACGTTAAGGAGCACTAGGCCAGTCCGGCCAAACAGCCCTTGCAGCAAATTACGGTGGTCGCAGCCAGCACAGCAGGCGGTTTGCGGCCGGGCGGGGCGGGGCGGGGCGGGGCGGGGCGGGGCGGGGCGGGCGGGGCGGGGCGGGGCGGGGCGGCTCCGCAGCAAGTAGCGCTAGCGCCGCCGCGGAGG